GCACTGGATGTTATGTATGCTTGTTTGTTTGTTAGAATTAGGTTATATTTTTATCCAAGTTTTTTATGTTTAAGTTATTCATATAACATTAAAATTTGATCTTATTTCAATTAACAAAAACTGTTTTTAATAATGCTGATGTATAATGGGGTCCATTTTGACCCACAAGAGGTACATAAACATTTCTAAACTAGAGGTAAGGACAACTTTATGGAAAATACATATAATTTATTCACTTTTTCAGACAAAATAAAAATAAAAAAAATGCAAGAGATTTTCCAAATTTAAACTAATTGTTATACATTTTGCCTTCAGAAACATTTTGACCTAGAAAATAATAGTGGCATTAGGTTAAATTGTTATTCAAGTTTTTTATGTTTAAGTTATTCATATAACATTAAAATTTGATCTTATTTCAATTAACCATTTTTTTTTAATTTATTTATTTTAATAATGCTGATGTACTGTATAATGGGGTCCGTTTTGACCCACAAGAGGTACATAAACATTTCTAAACAAGGGGTAAGAACAACTTTGTGGAATCATTTATTCACTTTTTCAGACAAAATAAAAATAAAAAAATGTAAGAGATATACCAATTTAAACTAATTGTTATACATTTTGCCTTCAGAAACATTTTGACCTAGAAAATAATAGTGGCTTTACATTTAATTATGCATTTTTTCATGTTTATTTATTTATGTTTAAATATCTGTTACATTTGTCTTATGTATATATATATATATATATATATATATATATATATTACTTCTGTAAATACATTTAGCCTCTTTCCTACACTCACATATACATTTCCTTCCCAAGCACCGGGGCTGCATTTTGTAAAACGTGCAAACACACACAAACACACACACACACACGCACGCACACACACACACACACACACACACAGGCCAGCGGACAGTGATGGATCTTATTCATTTTAATGCTGGCCTCTGTTTTCCTGCATTTGCTCTCTGACAATAGCAAACTGCCGTCTGTCACAAGAGCAGGGCCGTCGTCCCCCGACACACACTCCTGCAAACACTCACTACCCATCATTCTCCTCTTCTTTACACTCACACTACTCCCTCCATCTCTCTTTTTTGTCATTTCAGCTTTGCCTCTCTCTCTGAAAGCCGTATCAAAGAGCAATTTGTAGTGTATGTTTGACCACAGCGGGGGCCCGACAATGCTGAAAAAGTTGATGAGAATGATGAAAGCAACCATCCTCATCCTCATCTTCATCCTCATCCTCATCTGACAGACAGATAAGAGAGAAAGCTTTGAGCCGGGTCGCTTCGGCAGGCGACGGGTGACCTTGGACGGGATGTGTGTGTGTGTGTGTGAGGGGACAGGATCTCAGCGTGATCTCAAAGCTCCAGCAGAAACCCAACACACACGCTAATAAAGACTGATCTGAGCTCAGCAGTGTGTCTGCTGTGGGCCGCTGTGTGTTTGGAGGGGTGTTCTGTGTGTACGTCCGTGAATGACGACAAAAAACATAATTTTCATGTTTTTTTGACTGGGTACAAAAGAAAAAAAATTTTAATAATGACAATTGGATCACTAAATTGATGCTCAACACGAATGAAGTTCCTAATGGATTAAGTTCTTCCAAATAGGTATCCTCCAAAAAAGCTGCATTGTACTAATCATAGCTTAAGGTCTTCACTTAAAATTAAAGACGTACATTCACAAACACTCACCTAAAGGATTATTAGGAACACCACACTAATACTGTGTTTCACCTCCAGAACTGCCTTAATTCTACGTGGCATTGATTCAACAAGCATTCTTTAGAAATGTTGGCCCATATTGATAGGATAGCATCTTGCAGTTGATGGAGATTTGTGGGATGCACATCCAGGACACGAAGCTCCCGTTCCACCACATCCCAAAGATGCTCTATTGGGTTGAGATCTGGTGACTGTGGCGGCCATTTTACTACAGTCAACTCATTGACATGTTCAAGAAACCAATTTGAAATGATTCCAGCTTTGTGGTGCATTATCCTGCTGGAAGTAGCCATCAGAGGATGGGGACATGGTGGCCATAAAGGGATGGACATGGTCAGAAACAATGCTCAGGTAGGCCATTTAAACGATGCCCAATTGGCACCAAAGTGTGCCAAGAAAACATCCCCCACACCATTACACCACCACCACCAGCCTGCACAGTGGGAACAAGGCATGATGGATCCATGTTCTCATTCTGTTTACGCCAAATCTGAATGTCTCAACAGAAATCCAGACTGTCAAGATGTCATAACAAAGACATCCCGAACAATGTCATATTTGCATTAAAAATGACACTTAATGACTGTTGTCACAAACATGTATAAAACGTCCTTCATATTCATAACATAAGTCATGTCATGTCATGTTAGTCTAATGCACACCCCTTCAAGTAAAGTGTTCCCAAACATGGTAAAAAACATTTATCTCACAATTGCAATTCTATAAACTAGCTTTAATTCTGTAAACTATCAATTGTGAGGAAAAAAAAAAAAGAATTGTGAGATAAAAGTCGCAATTACTTTTTTTTTTTTTTTCATTTTTAATCTGTGGTGGAAACAAGTGCAGCCTTGGGGAGCAGAAATCTCACCGACCCCAAACCCCAAACAACACCATCCGGAGTTGAATGCTAGTGTGTGTGTGTGTGTGTGTGTAAATGTCTCAATACATCTTTTAAAGAATTGATCAAAAACATCAGATGGTGCCTGTCCTTTAGAGTTTCAGCATCATGAAATCAAACATTTATCATCAAATATTTCCAAAAGCAAACCATCCGAGTTGTAATATCCACTTTCATTTTACAGCTTTACACTCGACCTGTAAGCCAACGACTGCCTTGTTACTGTCTATTTTCATTTCTCCCAAGAAATCGTAAGAAAAATACGACCCTTAAAAGAAACATAAACGAGAACTCTATTAAGTCCCCTGAGCCACGAAAGAGCGAGTTCTGAGCGATAAGGTTTTCCTGTGGGAATCATCCGTGAGTGCGGTCACAGACTATCATCTCATTTCCATAAGCAGTCATCGTTCGGAGTTTCATCTCCTCGAACGCTGCGGCTTCAAAGCGCCTGTCGTATATTCTTTAGAAAGATGAGTGTTAGATTACGCTTTCTGATGTTATGACTCCAAAAAAAGAGAGAGAGAAAAGAAACACAAACACACATCCAAAGGATTGCACTCGGGAAAGAGGGGGAGTGGAAAAGATGGCATTTGGAGTTGATATTTGATATTTCATACTGCCATCTGTTATCAGGATAAATCAGCATGAGCATTTCAGCGGTCAAATTGCTTTCGATCGCAATCCTCCTCTCACACCACCCCAGTGTCACTCTCTCTCTCTCTCTCTCTCCTGTGTCTGTCTGATAACAACTTCTTCTCACTTTAATTCACTTTTTCTGCCGTCAAACTTCCCTGTCTTCACACACAACTCAACTTCATCTTAAAGCAGGAAGAGCAGCAGAAATTCATATTCATAATCAGCATTGAATGACCAGCCACTGAACTATTGTCTGTTAGTTTATTATTATTTATGCTCTATTAAAGATTATGGTAACCTGATTGCAGATTTTAAGCAAAAGTCTCTCAAACTCTGTTCTGGTTCCTCGGGTCACGCAGAGTTCAATGTTTTTTAATGTATTCTACACTAGAATATTGTCAAAAACATACTTTTCAGATTTATCCTTCAGCTTTCATCCCCAAATTTGGGTCAGATAATCTCCGGGTCAGATATTATTATAAGAACGTGTATTTAATACACCACATCAGTCACACGAAATGCATCAAAACAAATAGATTTGTTTAAGAGGAGGCAAAGCTTGAGTCTCTGGAACGCTTAAACGTTCTCGCTCTCATCATTGTGACAGCGCCACCAACTGGTGGACAAGTGGACAAACGTTTGGAATAACTGGACCTGAATCATATTTGGCTTTTAAAGTAAATTGTATTTCTCATTGTGTCATTGCAGACAAACACAAATGTTGCACTGTTTGTGATTAGTTTTTCCTAGTTAAAAAACAAAACAAAAACTAGTACACTAAAAAATAAGTCAACTTTGGCATACTTTTTTTTAAAAGAGTATTTATAAAAAAATAACTTACTTAAGTGCAAAATAAATTTACAAAATGATATCAAACAGTAATTCATTTTCAATAAAAATGCAATTGAGTTTAAGTTTATATTAAATGCATTTAACTTTAACTTTAGAGTGATTGACACACTTAAGTAGGATTTAAGTACATTTTATATATTTAATTTTATAATTACTTCTTTTGTCTTTGAAATACGGTTAAAGTGTACCGCCGAAGGCACTGACAAGCAACTAAAAAAGCTATTTTAGTGTCATTTCTACTGAAACTTGTATGTCATGTAGTTAAATATATTTGTAATTAATGAAGTTTTAACTTTAAATGTATAGCAAATAACACATTACAGTTAAAATGATTTAAAATGTATTTTGAAGTAAAACGTTTAATTGCTCACTATTACGAAGAGTTCAGATGCAAAAGCCTCTAAATGCCATTTGAAATTTTCTTCTAAAATGATGATTTTTATCAAGCTTGTATATTTAAGTTCAGTAATTTCACTTAAATGACAATTAATAGGTAATCTTCATTGCCATTTAAGTGAAATTACTGAACTTAAATATACAAGCTTGATAAAAATGATCATTTTAGCATTTAGAGGCTTTTGCATCTGAACTCTTCACTTTTTAAAAGTGTACTTAAGTGTATTAAGAACTATGTTGACTATGTCTATGACTATGTTGTAGTGTACAGTTTAAGTGGCGTTTTATTTCATTTATATTATATTATCTGCAAGTCCAGGTTTTTTTTTGTTTGTTTTTTTTGCACTAAATATATACTTTTAAGATTGAAGTAAAATGAAGCGCACTTCTGTTTCACAAGGGCATGTTGCCAATGGAAACGTTCCACCGTTTAAAGCCGAAAAGCACAGTGTAGAAACTGAAGACGGTGTATAACGTACCTCTCCTCTCCCTGCGAGCCGTCGGGCAACGATCAGCTGAATCATGCCTCTCTTGTTGCCCTCGACGGACATGGACTTGCGGAGGGTCTCCATCGCTTCCTGATTGGTCTTTTCCAGTAGAGACTCTCCATTAACTGCTATCAGCTGGTCATTCACCCTCAGCCGCCCATCCTGTGATTGCACACACCACAACAATAAAGACGTATGTAGCCAATCAGACCTGATTTCAACAAGCCCATTCCAATCAACCAATCAGATTTGAGGGACAAGTTTCTACATCAGTGTTATAGGGATTGTATGGGTAGGATTAGGTTTAGGGATATGGTTATGATTCAATTTTCAGACGGGAATATTGACCCGGTAATGACGCTCCTCACCTTGCAAGCGGCTCCGCCGGTGATTATAGACTTGACGAATATGCCCAGGTCAGCGTGGTTCTCTTTAGACCTGTTGCCCTTGACGCTGACCCCTAACCCCGCCGAGCCCGAGTCATTCAGAGGGATTTCAAAGGTCAAAAACTCTCTCATTCCATCCGGAGTCAATATTGTGTCATACTGTTCTTCTTTCTGTAGAGATAAAGAAATGGCACAAAAGATATTGATAAGTTAGGGGAGGAATTTCAACATACTTTCCCCAGTTTAATCGGATTTTTCATTTACACTAAGCCCGCCTTATTGGCAGAGGCTATTTACACTAACTCCGCCCACTGGCACCTGATTGGACCAGAGAAAATTAGGGAAAATGCTGGATTGTCAACAGTAGAAATGCTTTAAGTGTAAAGCGCTCGGTCTGAGATCGAATCCGCCTTTTGCCAACTCGCTCTACTCTCTTTTTACATCAGGAATTTATTTTCAATAAAAATTAAGAAAATATTCAAAAAGTGGGAATAAAGTGTCTAACCTGTGTTTAATAATGAAGTGTTTATTGGGTAGGGTTAGAGGTAGGCCATCCATTTAATAATTATTGCACACTGTTTAATGTACAACAAATAGTCTCTGCCACTATTTATCAGTAAAAATAGCATCTTACTACTATTTGAACTAATTGCAAAGAAAATACTTCTATGTTTACATATTGTAAATAGAATATATTGCTATTTATATTCAAGTCTATTTATAGTCAAGCGCTTTTTACAATACAGATTGTTTCAAAACAGCTTTACAGTGATAACAGGTAACAGGAAAATATGCAACAAAGTTGCATACTTAAATGTATGCTTTGTGCAAATAGCAGCTATCGCTAAGAAAAATATGCTATTTTTAAATTATAATGTAAATTATATAATATATAGTAGCTATGTACACAGTGACATCTATTGCTATTCACACTTAATTTAATATGCAACTATAAGCAAGTAACCATCAAAATACTGTAGTATATTCACACTTTTGCAAATCTTGTATCATAGGTACTACATTTTATTTGAAACTTACTTTGCGACTGTTAAAAAAGTATGATCTGTATGAAATGAATGAAATTTGGACGTTATACAATCCGCCACACCATCCGGGGACTTTTTACCGAATGTTTTATGAAAAATGTGAATTAAGACAAACTATTCAGCATGCTATGTTTTTGTTACGGCTATGGATCTGTTTCGACTAGAGCCCGACCGATAAAGGTTTTTGAAGGCCGATACCGATATTTTTGGCTTTAAAATTCGATATTCCGATATATCGGCCGATATTTTATTTATTTATTTTAAACTGGACATGATAGTCACAAATTTTGTCGTGCTTATTTGAGTTTAGAGAACTGATGGGGATGTTCTTTTAATTGTTATTCAAGCAATGCATCGTGACCAACTCAACGAGTGTTGCCAACAGGAACGGTGTAGAGTGCCCTCTGGTGGACAAACTATACAACTCCAACACTCATGACATGGTTCAAGCGTGTTTCGTCCGTTTTTATTTTATTTTTGAAATATTCATTTATCGGCCATCATAACTGCCGATACCGATAGTTTGGAAAATGCCTAATATCTGACGATAATATCGGCCTGCCGATATATCGGTCTGGCTCTAGTTTCGACCAATGACAGATGGGGAAAGTGTTTACAATTGAAGAATACCAACTATTTTTGCGACTTAAGTGGTGTAGAAATAACACACGTTTTACACTATATAACATCATAGCCGATACATGAATAGCATGCTTTTAAAGACCAACACAATGAATATAATATGAACACAAAAAGCAAAGAGTGCTGGATTGAGAGGTGTGGAGATGAACAGAGCTGGATCACATGGCTCATTAAACGAGATGTTTACAGTGGTTTCTATGGAGAATTGTCTTGGCACCCATTAAGTGGACGATCTCCTGTCGCAGTGCAGATTCAAACCCATGATATAAATACACTTCCATATCAGTGAACAAACTGCTTTGAGAATTACATTGTTAGAAAAAACCAAAAGAAAGCCATCTTTATGCAGTATAGTGTGCATTTGGACGATGAAATCGTTTCTGACCGGTGTATGAACAAGTGGACCTAGTTTAAACCTAGTAGATCATCTTAATCACAGCTAACACACCACTGTGGATCGAAAACCAGAATTTTCCATCAGGGAAGTCATTAAAAGAGTGATTCATTGGGGGGAAATCCACTCTCAGTAGCACTTGTATACATTAAAAGCTAAAGTAATGTGTTTAAAGAAAGGTTCAGCACACACACACACACACAGTTGAAGAATGCCAGGTGCTTGGCTTTAGTCCAGCTGCCGAGAGCAAAGAAGCTGGAGATGAGTTATAGAGATTCAGCCAAGCATTCAGGTGAGGCCCCTATCTCTCCTTCCTTTCATAATACACCTCACACACACACACACACACCATCAGCCCGTGCCCGAGCAGTTGCCATGGCAACCCAGGTGGCTCTCAGCAGACAATAGCAGCTCTCAGGTTAAGAACCAACAGCCAGGTGAAGGCGCCAGGAAGAACACATGCAGTGCTAACACGGTTTTCACGCGTGTGATTTTCAGCCACTCGTCTCGTTCCCATCACGCACAAGTACGCGGAGAGGACAACAGTCTTTTAGACTGACACAATGAAGTGCCTCTCACCGGCTCACTCCAGCACTGATATGCATTATGGATAGAAACATTGCGCTTTTTGAATGAAGAAGCGTCTTTGTGAGTTTTCGGCCACGTCTCGCCTCTGACAGATAATATTGTTTTTGTCAGCATCTCCATGGCAACCGAGAAACATTCTAAGCACTCGAAGAGTTTCCAGAGGTGTCAGTGAAACATTGATTTCAATTGTGGAATTGGATACCAGGGTTTCTGCAGGCATCTCCAAATTAAATCGAATGCTTTTTAATGCCTTTTTTTATTTTATTTTTGATGCCTTACATGACCCATGACTAACCAAGGATATTGCATCGATTAATCACACACTTTTCTGTCATTAATTGCAATTGAAAACACACCCCCCAAACAAAAATGAAAGTGTGGGGCAACTTAACTATTATAATCATAGATATGTATATAAAGGCTAGATGAGTTTCAATCGTCATCACTGGCGGCCATCTTGTCACAGACAAGCTGATGTAAGATGGGTGGTCAGCACGAACACAAATACTCTTATCTCGTTGAAATCTTGACGGATTCACAAACAATTTGGTTTCTTACAAACGTTATTAACGTGGCTATAATTATCTGGATGATTATTTATTTTTAGACTTTTTATTCATAAGTATGCAGTGTCATAACGACATCTCTGATGTTTATAATAAAACAAACCGTTTGAAAATCGGTAGAAAATTGAGCAAGTTATGGTCATTTAAATAATTAACACAATGTTACGAGTGAGCGAGCTGCCTGTGACAAGATGGCCGCCAGGTGCAGACGACGACCTCCATTGGCCAGCAGCGCTGGCGACACATCTAGCCTTTATATACATATCTATGATTATAATTACCTTTAAACTTAAAGGGATACTCCACTTTTTTTTTTTTTTTGGGAAATACGCTCATTTTACCACTCCCCCAGAGTTAAACAGTTGGGTTTTACCGTTTTCAGATGTATTCCGCCGATTTTCTGATATTTAGAAGAATGTCAGTAAACAGACAGTTTCTGGTCTCATTGACTTCCATAGTATATTTTTTTTCTACTATAGAAGTCAATGAGACCAGAAACGGTCTGGTTACTGACATTCTTCTAAATATCAGAAAATCATCTGAATAGATTAGAAAATGGTAAAACTCAACTGTTTAACTCTGGGGGAGAGGTAAAATGAGCCTATTTCCAAAAAAGTGGAGTATCCCGTTAAGGTGTGGTCACATTACGGTGAAATATCGCAAGCGAATCCATGTGACGAACTTGAACCAAATATGCATGGGCAAAATGGTGCATATTCTCATTCAAATGACTATTCCGAGCATGTTCGTTTGTTAGCGAGCAGCACTGAATATAACGTGTATAATCCTCCTGGAGTGAGTGGTCTTGAGCTCCTTTAACCAGTAAAACACACCACCTTTGAAAGCTCAGCTTCAATATGCACTCACTCTTTAAGCCAGTGCTACAGGTTACCAATCTCTGACCTCAAAGTTTTATAACATGCAACGGTTTGCTTGGAGGTCTGAAATTGTGTTGCAAACCGCTGGTTCATTGTCACGAGCCTTCACAACACTGTACATTTCTTTCAGACACTGGCAGAGGGAAATGCCACACGTTCTAAGAGGAGCATGCAGCTCGACCTGGCCCATTGTGCTCGCGAGTAATTAATTCATTCATAAGCCGACTGGATGGTGTGCATTCATTACGTGCTTTTGTTTCCAGAGTGAGTTTGAATTATACTGTCAGTGCACAGACAATGAAGAGAAGAGCCCATGCGAGATAACACACCGTCTGAACACGGTACAAACAGAGAGAGAGAGAGAGAGAGAGAGAGAGAGAGAGAGAGAGAGAGAGAGGGAGAGAAGAGCAGACATCTGCCGTTCATTCTCACTCCATTGGGACTGATGAGAGAGAAGGAAAGAATAAAAAGAAAGAAAGACATTCAAAATTAACAACTAACCAAAAAGAATGAACAAACAATTAAGTCAAGACAAAAAATAAACAAACAAACGAAAGGAAGGAAGACAAAACAAAAATCGAACACAGTAACAAAATAAAAAAATGTAAGAAAGAAAGAAAGAAATATCATGAGGAAAAACAAACTAAAAACTAAAATAATTATGAAGAAATGAATAAAAGCAAGAAATATAGAACAAAAAAAAATCTAATGAGCTAACCACCCCCCCCCCCAAAAAAAAAAGATAGAACACTTTCAAAACAATTAACAGAATTTTTTTTAAAAAAATCAGAACAAATAAGATAAAAAAAAAATGCGTTCCCCTAAGAGTCTTTTCACTGGGAAAAAAAGCAAAGTTTCTCTTAGCAAAGTTAGAATGAGCTAACGCAAAGCATTGGCACATACGTTTTCAAAAGCATTGACACTCATCTAAAGGATTATTAGGAACACCTACAAAAGACTGGAAGACTGGAAAAATGTTGCCTGGTCTGATGAGTCTGGATTTCTGTTGAGTCATTCAGATGGTAGAGTCCGAATTTGGCGTAAACAGAACAAGAAC